CAGTGCAGGTCTTGTCTTCGTTGTGATAAGATTCCTTATCACGTTGGCCTTCATGTATAACGGGTGTGCACTTCGAGAATGCAGAAGGATATTTCTTGACATCGGTTTCCTATACCATTCGAGTTCCTTGATGCCATGGTTGATCCGAACCTTCGTATTGAGGAACGGAAGGAAGCCGCGCTCATCAGGATGTTCCACCGTAAAACGTATGTTGGGATCACACGAGTTCAGATTTTGAAGCATCGTGTTCATCGCATCGGCGGTAGAACTGATGAGAAAGACATCGTCTATGTAGCGCTTATAAAATATGATTCCAGTGATCAAAGATCTTCTCTCAATTCGATCCAAATAGACGATGGCTAGTAACGGCGATATCCTCAATCCCATGGCGAGCCTCGTTTCTGTGTATAGAACATACCGTCGAACTGGAAGATGTTACATTCAAAGTAGCCAGTAGACAATCTTTCCAGCTAAAACTTTTTTTAACTATCCTGGGCTTGTGTTTTGGGTTGCGCCCGAGCGTCTTTCTATTGAATTCTACAGTGCCGGATTTCCCATGTTATCAATATACAAGCATAAAACCAACAATATCGATAAAAATCATGCAACCATGCAAAAAGGTAGGAAAGATAAGTAGAGTCGATCGAAAAGTCCATCCAGGTCGATTTAAAAAGTTGTGGAACTTGAATGAGTGCAATTTCTGTTCTCTTGGTAGGGGAGAAGGGTATCTTCATTGATCTATCAGGCGGTAGGGATCGGCAAAGGCCCAGGATGCTTCTCCACGAATGCCGCCACCACCCACACTGATGCCAAGCATGATAGGACCTTGGGCGCGCTCTCGCGACACGGCTGTCATGCCCAGCGGCGACTACGTTGTGTGTTCCATCACCGTCTTTACGAAGATGTGAGACTCCGGTCACCACTGCCGACCAATTGGTCTACCACAACCCGGAAAAGATCGAAAAACAATTTTTGGCTGGATGTTGATCAGGGGAGGTGAGGGGGAGAGGAGGGAATGATAGTTCGCTGATTACGATTCTGACAATTATTTTGTGGCGTCGACGCAATTTGGCCGCCAGTATAGCGCTCAACGTCTCTCATATGGAGGTACATAGACGTACTTTTCGCTCCTTTTTTGGCGTTCCTGGGGCCGCTCAGCGAAAATGAACCCCACTTCTGTGGTCTATGTGCAAGCCCCTACAAAATGCAAAAACCATTTTGAAAAAGCGGGGCACGCCCTGAACGACCTTCCTCGTTAGTGGATGAACTGAAGTGGAGGTATGGGTGTATTTGAGTTGTTGTGGAATTAATAACGGGCAAATAAGCAAATAAACAAATAAATAAATACAAAGTAAGAAATTTCGATTTTGACCCCCATACACCCATTCCATGCCCTGTTCACGCTATTCTCATGTGTCTTGAAACGAATAGATGAACCTTTGAAGCAGGCACCAACGATTCGGTGCACATCTCATCCACCGGGGCTGTCTCTTACTTCATCTGACTTGCCGCTGTCGCCTTTGAACATATCTATCCCCGGGGTTGCTCAGGATGCGTTTTGAAAATTTTTATCCTCGACACCGTTCACTTCTGCGCACGCCCCGCCCATTGTGGGCGGAGTAGATTGCCTTGTACGTGCTCTGTAAATGTTGGCGTCGTACAGACAGACAGACGTACAGACAAACATACACACAACTTCTGGTTTATATATAGAGAGATTATCAAATCTACTTGGTCGTCTGCTCGAATAATACTTTCCCACGAACTGTGAAAGAATTGGTGGAAATGGGCTGACAGCCCCCTGACACGCCCAAGCATCCGCAGCGAACAAGAATGTACTTATATGTGGCGTCTGGAACATTGGCAATTAGCGGCAGGATTGTTTCTTCGTAGGCCTATTCTCTGGGCTATGCCTATTCCATGGGCTCTAAATTCATCAACCCCACCTCACTCACGATTCCTTGGGAATAACAAAGGTCCGCCTGAGAAAAGGGCCGAAAGGGTTATCAAAGTTCTATTCCAGTTTTTTCTCTTCTTTGACAACAATCGATTCCGTTTTCTTGCAAAATTTCATACTTATATTTCTAAAAATTTGGTAGGTAGCACTGAGACGAGGCCTGCCTGGGTGATAATGGAAGAAGGAACGAGCGATGATGATGACCAGAGCACGGCCACAAGTTCCGATGGTGTCATGGAGCGAATCATTCTTCATGTCTATGACGATGAATCAAAAGAGTTCAGCTCATTAACAACGTATCATGGAATGGTAAGGTTTTCAGCTAACAGCAAGCTAGTGCTCCAGGTCGTTAATGTCAGTTTATTGAAATACCTTCAACAAGAATATACCCTCTCGACACGTTCACGCTTATGGCAGCTCATACGGCTGCCAAGGACGTGTGCTTTGGGGCTCTGGTATATGGACTGCCAGATAATGACTTCTGGGCAACTGCTACTATCACTATTTTTTGATTGCTTTAATGTTAGCGGATTGACTATCTATTAAGAAATGTGCGAGTATCATGAGGAGAGGGAAATGTTCAATAGAATTATACTAGTAACAATGGGAGCATCTCATACTTCACGCTGACCGGGCGACTGCTCTTTCCGCTACGCCACCGGGGCCGCTTCCTGTCCTCTCAGCTCAATGGTTTCTTGTCCAGTGGATAGCGCACTCTCCCGGTAGACACGAAGTGCGGGTCCAAGGTCGCCTGGGGTCAAGACTTTTGCCCATAACTCAGCATTCTTATAACAACTTCCGGAGTGCAAACTGCGGCGCTGAACAGTAATTATAGTAAAAAAAACATGGAACCATTTTTGTCGCGAGTGGGTCAAAGGCTTAAGGCACGATAATGTGGTACTCGGCCTTATATGGTAGCAGGGATGCTAGAAACGGCGAAAAAGCGAAGTGAACTGCTTAACACATGCAAAAAAGCTTTTGTTCCACACAACCCAGAAAGCAATTTCGGACGGGTTTCCCGTTGGCACCGTGCCAGTAACCACATAGGTAAATATGGATGCATGTGTGTACCCACATATCCATGCAGCACAGCTGCCGTTTCATGTCAATCCTTTCGCTTCATTTTGTACTTCGCAAATGAAGCGATACGAGCATCAGCACTGGTCGGACATTTGTGGGCGGGCGAGCGCGGTGGGCGTGCGGATCAGTATGTGGCAGCTTGATAGGGCGTCAAAAGGATACCTTCACTGGGAAAGGCGCTATGCAGCGTTTGCTCAAGGGCGCGGAATTCAGTCCTGTTAGGCGTGTTGATATTACATGTCTTGGGAATTTATCGATCGTGCCACTTACCTTTAAAAGGCATTGTAAGTGCTGGTCGTGTGGCGCCGGAGTGTGGTCAACGATCATGCCCATTTATTAGGTCGTATCAGTATGAAATCGGTCCTCTTTTGAAGAGAGTCAACTTCAGTTTATCATATCTCATACAACGCAAATTACAATCAATCAAAATATGATCCTAAGTTATCAACACATCTTTGCCATTTTAAAGGTAACTTATTAATTCCATCTCTATAGAAATCTGGGGAGCGAGAGGCAATAAAATCATGAAAGGCACTTTCTACATCATCATAAGAATTGAATAATTTTCCCTGCAAGAAGTGATCTAAAGCTTGAAAGAAATGGTAATCTGTAGGTGCTAGGTCGGGAGAGTAAGGAGGATGAACGAGAGTTTCCAAGTCCAAATCCTGTAATTTTAACAAGGTCGAGTTTGCCACATGTGGCCGATGCAGCGTTATGTCCACGACCAGTTAGGAGCGGTCGGTCTCTGTTAATCATTCTCGGCTGCATAACAGCAAGCTTCTCCATCATTTCCTCCAGCTGTTGACAGTACGCCTCCGCCGTGATCGCCTGACCAGGTCTCGTAAAGCTGTAGTGAATCACTCCTGCGGAGGACCACCAAACTGATACCATAGTCTTCCTCTGGTGAGGGTCCGGCTTCGGCGTAGGTTTTGGCGGTTCCGACTTGTCCAACCACTGGTAAGACCGCTTCCTGTTATCGAAATGGATCCACTTCTCGTCACATGTGACGAGACGGTGTAAGAAAGGCTCGCTTTTTGCCTAGAAAGTAAGGAAAGGCAAGCCTCAAGGCGGACCCTCTTCTGACGATCGCTCAAGTCGTGCGGTACCCAACGGTCCAGCTTCCTACTCTTGCCAATTTGCTTCAAATGAGACGAGATCGTCACCTTACATACTCCAAACTTTGCCGCTAATTCTCGAGTACTTTGAGTGGGATCAGCTTCCACTACGGCTTTAAGCTCATCGTTGTTCAGCTTGCACTCGGGCCGTCCTCTCGACTCATTTTGAAGATCGAAGTCGCCGGATTCAAACTTTGCAAACCATCGACGTACTGTTCGTTCGTTAGGGGCATCCTCTCCAAAGACGACGGTGATATTCCGAACTGCCTGTGCTGCGGTGCTTCCACGGCGGAACTCGTACTCCAAGACAACACGCAATTTGGACTTGTCCATGTCGTTACAAAAACCTTTCTAAAAAAGTCAGATTCCACGGCAGCCGGAGGTCCACCGAAGGTAAGAAAGAGGGAGCTGGCACCTTTACCCAAAACTCGCAGTTACCAAGGCCGTCAGGGACTGCCGCGGCAGCGTTTTGCCTCCCTAGATTACGGACTCTCGAACTGATGCACTTCTGAAAACGCGACAATTTCATACTGAACGACCTGATAAAATGTATGCGACTTTGAGCACAGCCAAGGCCGCCAAAAACAACCAAATTCGTATAAGATAGCTCAAGTAATCTCCACCCACTCGATTCACGATGCCTTAAGACAGCTGCCATCTAGAACAAGGTATAACTGAATGTGAACTAACCACAAGAGGACGATGTATAAAATTAGATTCAAAAAACTAACTCGGGGTTTGGAAACCTACCAGTACTCGAGGTGCACCTTGACTTCTTACGCTAATACAGAAACTTCTACAGTTTCAAAATATCGTATAATGGGAGGAGAAAAGTTTCCTTCAAAGAATCTTTAACACTCAGTCTCCGAGAATCAATCACTCTTAGGTACGACTAGCACATCCCTTCTACTCAGTACCGCACAGTAGACTACTCATCTTCTTTCGGATGACCTACATCTAGGGAAAGTCCTGGCGTTGGGTGAAATGTTTGGCTACTACGACCCTCCCGCTCGAACTCCGACAGAAATAATAGTTCTGCTGCACCACCAACTAAAGAGTGGAAGGCGATATAAAGCGCCCCTTAAATGGGAAAACCAATACTCAGAATAAGTTTCCCGGAATAAGTATGGCCACCCTCGCCGCTGGAAATCCTCAAACTATGCCATGCCCTCCTTACATTTCAAATATGGATATTTGTTTCCCTGTGAACTTTCACTTTAAGTCAGTTTGAGAAGGAGATTTCTGTGATGGTATTTCTTTCAGATAAGAATATACTCATCAGAAACATGGCCGTCGAGAATTTTCTGGTCACTTGTAGTTGTGACATGTCTCACACTTTTCATGACACACGTGAGGTTGTTGCATATTTTCATATTTATAAATGACTTTTTAGTTTTGGAATTGCTTTTGTGGTAATCATGTTCGAACATTCAGAGTGGCTCTATGCTTTTCTTCTATCACTCTCATCCAACATTTTTCAAAACCACTGATAGTTTGCTGAGGGCGGAACATCTTCCCGCAGTGACGATCTGTAAAGTGGGCGGAGCCCACCAATGGAGAAATTATCGAGGTACGGCTCATGACTGATAGGACAAACGTATCGGGCAAAATAAGGTTTTCACTCTTGTCGTGAAGACTGAGATTCAGAATTCCGATCGCGATAAAATAAACTCAAAGAGCATATACAGATTACCTGCAAGCTACCAAGGTACCTTTTCAGAGATTAAGTCACTAGTCGAAATGATGCCGTCATTTGACGCGATGTTTATTGGACAGCCGTTGAATGCCGACGATTTAATGAACCTGCGCAGGCTCGAAGACACACTTACGAATGTCACGGGTTCAAGATTCAATCTGAAGCGATTCCTTGAGGATTCAAGGTGAGGAAAGATACTACTAGGTCCTCGCAAATATAGTAACAGTTATGCACGGATGAATTCAAAACGTGTACGACGGATGGCTGCCCATTCCGGTAACTTTTATGCATGGTCCTGTTTACGAAACCCTGTTGCAGACAGCTAGAGGACAGCGGCTGCCGAAGCACTGGAAGGTTCTTAGGTTGGCGGGAAACTTCTGTCACACTTTTTTGAACTCAAATACTTACCCATTACGTGAAGAGGGGTGACCGTTAATGTGAGCAGTTATACGTGAAGGTCTTCGAGTTGATCATAGAAGCCGTTGTGCTCTTCTTCTTCGCAATCCGCTGTGGGCGCATATTTGTATAATGGCGACGTGTATATCTTTGGAGATACTGGCGCTGAGCAAGGCGAAACGGTGACCGTAGAACGTGACACTTCGTACATGTTTGCAGAAATCTGGTGACACGATGAATCCAACACCTCCTGAAGTTGAATTGTGCTTGCGTGCTCCTAGATATAATGCCGTTCCATCTGTCCACGTGCATGTTAACGATTCCTTCCTCTTTGTCTCGCTAAGTCCGATTACATGATACTTGATCCGTTGAGCTTCATCAATGAGTGCCGAAAGCTGAGCGGCCGAACTGATACTCCTGCAGTTGTAAGTGCAGGTTATCAGATGACTCGCTTCTTGTCCTTCTCTTGTTTGTGTAGCTTGACCTGAGATTATGAGCCTTTGGCTGTGTGCTTGAACCAGCGCTACACGACTGAGCAGTGACAGCCTGCAGGGGACTAAGGCTAATGTAAGAAGTGGTCGTAGCATTTTTCGTCCCACAGGATAGCCTTGCTAGGGCGTTCCTGTCGCTCAAGGAGAGCGCCGTCCCACCAAGAGCTTGGGCACTTTGGGTTCTTTCGTCACGGGAATCAGTATGGGGTTCCGGCGTAACTCTACCCTGACGGGTATTCCGATCCCGCTTCAAGCTCGTACACTACGACAAGGTAGAACCCATGTACAAAGCAGCCTTTCTGGCCGTGCATAAGGGCCATTCGAAGACCTTATACACAGCCAGAAAGGCTATGTCGTAGTGATGGGCGATTTCAACGCCCGAGTCGGATCGCGAAAGGCTGGCGAATTATTCATAGGCCCTCATTCCGCTGAGCAGCGCAACGAAGCAGGAGAAAGGCTGGCAAATTTTTTGCGAATCGCACCATCTCTTCCATGGCAACAGTCAGTTTCTCAAAGCGGCCTCAAAAAGATGGACCCACGTGTCTCCAAATGGGCAGCACTTTCATGAAATCGACCATATACTGTGCAATAGAAGAGCCGCAACAGATGTCGCCGTCGTTCCGTCCTTCAACACGGGAAGCGACCATCGCCTTTTGCGAGCGAATTTTACCTTGATCGGGGCAGTGTTGAATGCGGAATTAGCAGCAGGACTTGCGAGCGTGGAACCATTTGAAATGATGGATGATATTGACGAAGATTATCGACGTCTCGTAGAAACAGTGGAAAAGCTTGCAGAACGCTGTCGAGGCGTTGCCCCGAACCCACACTCGTCTTATATCGTCTTCTACTCGTGCGCTGCTCGAAAAAGAAGGAATATCGATCGCCAAGGGAATCACTTGGAGTACACGCTTCTATCCAGGATGTGCAGACGGCGAGACCGTGCAAGACCGTACCTGATTAAGGCTTCTAGATGAGGCGGAAAAAAGGCGATGCCTCAAAAGAGCTGAGAGAAGCATAGCAGAGTATCGCTTGATGATCCCATGTCTCGAAGCCGAGGACGGGTCTCGTTGCTAGTCGATACCAGAAATGGAGCGGATTCTAAGAAGTTCTATACCGCTCTTTTCCAAGTCCAACCTCCTCATCAAAGCGCGTGAGAAATCGTCACAAGGTCGAAGTTCGGTTTTGCCTTCCCTCAATCGAAGTACGCCATGCAGTCCAAACGATGCCGCGAGGGCAGGCACCCGGTGCCGGGAAGGACGTATACTGTAGAAGTATTCCAGGCCGTGTTCTTTACGATCACCTCTCTCAAGCCCTTGCCAAACGATATACTCGCTACCTGGTCGAAAGTGCGGTGCCAACGGCATGGAAACAGTCGTCGACGGTGCTATTGTTCAAGAAAGGCGATAAGGAAGACCTGGCGAATTACCGGCCAATCACGCTTCTTCCAGTATTTTACAAAGTGTTCACTCGCTGTATACTGGCGCGCATGCGAAGGGCGCTAGAAGAAGCTCAGCCGGTAGAACAAGCAGGATTCCGTCGAAATTTCAGCACGCTGGACCATATCGCAACCTAATAGAAGCAGCTCGAGAACACCACATGCCTCTTGTACTCACATTTGTTGACTACAAGAAGGCGTTCGATTCGGTAGAGCCAATGAAGGTTTGGGAATCGCTAGAAGAGCAAGGAATTGAGAAGATCTACATAGACGTGCTGCAGGAATGTTACACCGATTGTACTACCACGTTCCGCCCTTTTTTCAACGACGTGGTAGTACTCAGAAAGGTGTGCGACAAGGTGATCCGATGGAATCCGTTATACGCCGTTGCGATTGGAGCAGATTTGGATTGAACATTGACGGTACTCTTCTGAATCACCTTCGCTTCGCCGATGACATTGTGCTTATTACTAGCTCGCCAGAGGAAGCGTCCGAGATGTTGGATCGTTTGGACCAAGAAGGGAGTCAGTACGGTTTGACGATGAACACATCAAAAACGAAAGTCATGCGGAACCGATTCGCCGGAGGTGCGACCGTAACCTTAAAAGGGAGCCCAATCGAAGACGTCTTTAATACAACAGTGTTGCCTGCCCTAAGCTACGCAGGAGAAACTTGGGCCCTCACAAAAGCGCACGAAAAACGGTTAAAGTCTGCCCAAGCATCAATTGAGCGCCGCCTAGTAGGCCTGACGTTAAGCCGTCAACGAGAATTGAAACTTCACAACTCAGACGTCAGGGCCATGTCGAAGATCAAGGACATTGTACTCCACGTTGACGAAGCAAAACATCGATTTGCTGGCCACGTGATGAGGAGAAATGACGGGAGATGGAGCTCTGCGACGATGCGATGGTACCCGCGTGATAAGAAACGACCGCCGGGCCGCCCTCCTCTGCGCTGGGCAGATTCTCTGGCCTATCGCAACAATGTTATGATCAGATTTCTCTTAAGGTCTCTATGCACTGGACAAGCAAGGCTCAAGACAGAGATCAATGGAAAAGAAGTTGGGACCCGCGCAAGGTCAACCGCCGCTGCTGAAGAACGGGTC